GGGGCTGGCGAGATCGTCGTTGGCGGTTTTGGGATCGTCCCGGTGGAATTCTACGTGCATGGCGTTCTCGTGGAGGAAGAGGTTGATGATGCAGTCGGCTTGTTTTAGGATGGCTGGGGTTGTGGTTAGTGGTGAGGTAGCTGGGGAATTGGGGCTGGGGTGTTGACGTACGGGAAAAGTGCTCTGGTGGAGTTTCTCGTCGCCATTGGTCCAGTTGTCTTTCGAGAACGCGGAGCGTGTAGAGGAACTTTGGGTCTGAAAAGGATGATACGGTAGGGGCGTCGTCGCTGGTGAACTGGACGGCGATATCTTCGAGGATATGGGCTAGCTTTGCCCATTGGATCATGCCTTTGTCGGATGGTAAGGCCTCTGGTGACTTTTCGAGTATTTCTACGCATTCATCCATATATGGCATCCAGCGGACTAGATTCACGCGTCTCAAAGAGACGGCACACCTGTATGGCTGTTAGCGGTCAGTTTGTCATGATGAGTAGGGGATACGAACTGCACGGCGACGAAATAACAAGCAAGCCAGGTTCGTCTCGCCTCGGCTGAATCCAGGTCTACGACGATAGATGACTTCTTCGAGATAAGCTCCTTGACTAGGGCGAACGGCTTGGACTTGGGGATTGCCTTCCGGTTGAGACCCAGATCCATCGCGAGCGAGACAGCAATGTTTGACAACTGATAGAATTTGACCTCCTCGAAGTTATCTGGTGGCGTGTACCAGTTGCAGCAGACTAGGATCGCCTGGACTAGATCCAGTGACTTTTCACCTTTCACGATAACTCGTTCGGCAACCACTTTGTAAAATTCATCCAGCAGAGATAGCTGCAGGTGTGGTTGAATAGTACCGATCGCGGCTGCAATTATAGCGTGAAACAGCACCGGCTTCTTCTGCCGCACCTCATCCATTGTTGTGCCTGGTGGGAACACCACCATAGGTATGAGGGTGGCCATTCGATCGACGTATTTGGTAAATGCCTCCTGAGCCAGTGTCTCACTCACGACACCTCGGTCAATCAGATCACCCCCGCCCTCGCTGGCCGTGTCTTTAGGTTGTGCCTCCAAGCCGTATCCCATGGCCCGCCATTGTTTGAGAGCCTTATTGTACAATGACTGGTCGTCGCTAGGGCTCGAAGTGCGAGAAGACACTGGAGCAGTCTCTTTGATCTCCCCACTGTGCCGCCGCTTGCTCCCCGCCGTGCTGGAAGGTGACCTCAAGGGTATCGATCCATTAGTAGAGGCATGCGCCGTGGATGAAAGCCAGCGCCTTCCCGGATGCTCCTCGCGCGGCGGCTCAAGAGCGGCGGGCGGCGGAAGAGGGTGCGGTTCGTGGCCCTGGGAGGCCTGCAAGCTCGCCGTCAAGGCATCAATCTTCCTCTCGAGCTCCGCCACGCGACTGTCGGTCTTCTTCTGGCGCTTGCGTGTGGGAACGGTCACGATACAGTTCCGGCCGGCCTTGGCGCATCGTTTACACGTGCCATTGGGATGGCTGAGATCGGGCTCGCATCGGACTTTGAGTTGACGGCATGCTTCGCAGGCGCGCGGACGTCGCAATTCGGCATACGGATCGTTCGGATCGACGGGATCGAGTTGAGAGGACGTGGTGGGCACCGAGCCAGGTTCAGGCCCGCTTCGGTATATAGATGGCGTTGACTGGGAGTGCGCGGCGCTGCCGTAGTAGCCGGGCCCACTTGCAGACGAGACGGCGGATCGCAGCTGGTCCGCGGGAGAGTAAGGGGACGGTGGTTCGGGGTAATCGCTGCGGCGTGGAAGCGCGGAGGGAGCGCCGGTATTATGGTCGGGATGTCTGGAAGAGACCGGGGGAGGGATATATGGACGACCGGCTGCGGTGCCGTCGGCAGGAGAGCTGTCACTGCCAGCACGCAGACGCGGATCGATCTCCATCGGTTTGCGGGGACTGGGTTTAAGGCACGTCAGCCTGGGTTGCACGACGGGTGGATGATGGTCGCCATGGCCAACGGATCAATATCACGACCGGCAAGGATTTCCGATCGCTTGGCCGCGCGCGCGCGTTAATCCTAGAAGGGATAGTAAGGAGACCGAAATGAGAACATCAAGCTTACATTTTTAATTTGAGAGAGTAGAAGATGAGGGGGGGTGGAAAGGCACGACGCCAGACTCGCTTGGGAGGCTGCAGTTGGGCGAAGGTCGGAGAACCGGACGGTCGGTGACCGACAGCCGACCGTGGAGGCCTCAGGCGGGTGCGTGTTCAAGCCTTAAAAAGGAGTTCCCTCCAGGAGATGCTGGATCAGATGCATTCGATATCGGGAACCACGTTCGAAGAAGATGGTGCTTCACTGCCGGGTTTGATGCGACAGATTGTGCGAGGAGAAGGAGATGACAAGAAGATGAAAACAGAGGAGAGAAAACGCGGAGACGCGAAAGACGAGCGAAGGAGCCTCAAGTGGAGGGGCGGCTTTCTGTCGCCTGCGATTTCTTGTTTCTACGTCTCTCTCCTAATCTACCGCCAGACCATGAAATATAACTATACTAATGATTTCGTAAAAATTATCCGTTTCAATTAATAGCAGCCAGGAAGATCAAGTTTCTTCTTTGACGCACATCCCATAAATTATCTGGTCTCGAAATGATGGATGACTCAACACCCTCAGGCTGCCATTCCTATCGCTGCTTACGTGTGCACCAACTGCCATCCCATCCCCCTTTTCGAACTATAAGTTAGTTACTCTTATCGGTCACTTCTCTGATCAATGAGTATGTAAAAGGTGTAGCATTCGTAAATGTCCAATGTCCGGGGGAAACAGCAGTCGCTCTAACTAGATGGCCAAGAACTCACGCGCCGAACTGATTGCATCAAACATGAGGGGGAGATCAAGAACACCAACCAGAGAGAAACTCATCACTCTCGTCAACCAAACACAAGAACCCCAAGCTGCTTGACAGCTGCAAAAGCAATAACAGAATGAGAGACAACAAGACCAGGACGCCGGCTCGGCGAAATAGTGCTGGAAAGAACATTTGCCTCACCAAGGTAAAGAAAAACAAAGCCACCATCGGACCGACAAGAAGGCGGAAATCCAGCCGCAACCAAGCTTGCACGGTACAAAAGAGGCCCGCTATAAAACCACATAACACCAACATGAAGACATCAGGCTCGTTCAGGAGACTTTATGCACCGGGCACTCCTTCTTCCGCTCAAACCATTCAACAATGCATCGCTTGTGGAATTTGCAGAGACACTCCAGCCGCACCAGCGACTGCCCAACCTCGTATTCTTCCATGCAGATGGTACATTCCTGTAACCCTCCGTCCTGTCCCACACAGTCCTTCTCCGTCGCCTTGAATACAACCAGACGAACGGGAACGGGTGAGGACGCCGCTGGGCTACCATTCTGCGGGGACATGCGACCCTGTCGACCATGGCTCTCAATACAATCGCGAATATGTGCCTCTCGACTAGTCTCGTCCCCGTTGTTGCCCAAAGGTGGAAGCTCTTGGTCACAGATCGGACAGAGATCGCGCTCTTCGACGTGAGGCCGCCGCCACGGCGCTACCCCGAGAGACGAGGGTCGGGCCGTCGACGACACGGGCAATGAACTGGCACTCCCCGCACCCGGATACGGCAGCGGTCGAGAGGAGGCACTGGAACCCATTGAGATGGGATGGAAGCGGGAACTAGACAATGATCCGTAATCAATGGGCCTGGGTCGTTCCTGCAGCCGTGGAGCAAAGGCGCCGCCCAACCCACCAAACGTGGTATAATCGCTCGAGCCTACAGTCCGTCGTCCTGGCCGTGAGGGAAATGTACCTGGCTGCTGCTGTCATCTGGTTAGTGGGGGGGAAGTATTCGGAGAAGGCATACATTGTAAACTCACCAGGCCTCCACTGTGGGGATTTTGATTAGCGGGCGATGACACGGAATGATAAGATCGATGTCCGGATTGATTGAATAAAGTAGGGTAAGCCCCCTGCCCTATGCCCGAACGTGATTCTGCTCCCCCGCGGCTCCGAACAGTCGCAAACCCACGAGGCGGGTCTGGGTTGGGATCTGGGACGCAGGGGTTACACAGCCGCACCTCCTCCCCGCCCCCCAGGGCCGGGTTGAGGGCAGTTGGGGAGGTGGCGGCGTCATCACCTTCCAAATCAATAACGGGAGCCGCGCGCGGGGGGATCAGAGAGGAGGATGCATAAGAACGATTGGGGTCGCGCACGATGAACTGTCGGGGAATAGTAATCCGGTGGGGGGAACATGACGCACACACGACCCGGCCACATTTACGGCAGTGATGCTTCCTGTACCAAAAGCTGAACGTTGTCCCGCAAATGGGACATTTCGTCACCTCCGCATCAGGCTGCCATTGCGGCCGTGTATACTCCACGTAAGCACCAGTACCCGTCCGTGACCACGATCCTCGACGGTAGTTATCAGTCGAGCTAGATATACCCTGCGGCCGGGACTGCGGTGGGGGTGATGTTAGATCGATGGGATTGGCATAGGACGAAGGAGGAGGATTCTGGGGCGTCTGCGTCTGCGTCTGCGTCTCGAACGAGGAAAACCGGGGGATAGACCTGCTATCCATTGCTGCTGCTCGACTGCTACTACTGCTCGGCCCGGTGTCCGTCAACGGCTCGGGAACTGCACGCCTCGACCACGCATCCGCCTCCAGACTGACTATCCGTCGCTTACGATCCGACCCGCTGAGAGTGGATCGCCGTCTCTCAGTACGTCTATCTAGTGCAGGACCGGCCTCACTTGTCCGTAAATGCTCCGAGCTCGCATGAGGCCTGAGACCAGAAGAAGGCGGTGGGGCGGCGAAAGCGGCGGCTGCGGCTGCTGCGGTGGTGGTGGTGGTGGATGAAGCAGATCGGGAAGATGCCGGACTCGACAAGGACGACATGAACTGAGGGAAAGGAGCAGGTGTAGAGAAAGTCGAAGCTGAAGCTGAATGTCTGCCGGACGCTGCAGAGGAGACTAATCTCCGCCGTTTGGACGACGGACCGTCATTGACTGAGTGGCGCGACGAGGCCAGGATTGGGGGAGGGATAAGGCAGAACCGCGTTTCCGGGTAGCGTGTAGCAGGCGTGAATTATGAAAGGGGAGAAGACTGATTCTGGGGTACGGTCTTCTACCTGAGGAGAGAGAAAAGAAGAAGGCGGAATAATTGGCAAAAAACAAAAAGCAGATAGACAGTGGATGCAAAGGTTTTGAAAAAAAGGAAATCAATCGAGAACGTTCGGACTTTTGGGCGTCGAAGGCAAATCTTCGGCCAGGAGGGGGGTCTCGTGACTCGGGCGATGTGAAGGAGAGAAGCACGCGCCCCGAAGAAAGACCAGCACCAGTTCTTCCCTGCTGACAGCAATTTGATCAGGAAAGGGATGACCAACGCGGCTGCGAAAGGGACAAGAGACTGCCAGCCGCAAGAGTGTGTGAGATTGAGGGCGTGATGGTCAGGCGCTTTGCCGCTGGCTGACATTCAACAAGCCGAGGATTGGCCGCGGGGCAAAATGGCGGTCCGCGAGGTGAGCTTCTTAGTTAATTAGTTAGTACTTGCTCTTTTCTTTGTCTCCCTCTCTCTCTCTCTCTCTCTCTCGGTGTCTGTGTGCCTCTTTTATCATCAACCACGAGGCTCGCGCCGATTCTTCCGATCAGGGATGACCGGTCTAGCCAATTCCGTCAGGAGAATCTACTATCTGTATTTCTAGCCAGGTCTCGGAGAATCTAGGGACACCGTGCATATGAATTACTGATCTGGTGGATCAGCCAGCTCTGATAGTCAGGCCACCGGGGGATCTCCTCTCTTCAGTCAGAGATAGGCTGATGCTCGGGTGATGCTGCGTTGATGATATCACATGTCTCGTATCTCATACTGATTTTAGAACAATGGACTACAATCGCTCTATCCCCTAAGTATGGGTGTAAATATTTCACTAGCATAATTGTTGCTATTTAGCATTATCAGCACTAATGTAAACGCCTATCCCCCATTCTCCGTTCAACTATAGTTAAATGAAATTATTGCCTAACAGTCCATACACGAAAAGAATCCGCCAACCTATACAAGATGCGACGCTGGGATTGCAGAACACAAAAAGGCCGTACCCATGCCGGAATGGCCGGGTTACAGGGGAAAGGGGTCGAAATCATGGCTGCCGTAACTGCAGGCCACGATGCAAGAGCAGGGGAGGTTTAGACAGAAGATGTGAATTTGAGACAATGGTGGATACAAGAATGAAAAAAAAAAAAAAAAAAAAAAAAAAAAAAACGAGGAGGAAAAGAAAAGAAATAAAAGACACACGCTGGCCAGCAGAATGCTGCAGGATCCGGTTGCTTATTTAACGGAAATCCAAACCCATATATCACAAACGCCTTTGCACATAATCCTTTTGTTGACGACACAGTGGGGAAAAGAAATTCGTCATCTCCACAGCAATGCCGATGGAAGATCGCTTCGCTTATGCTTTCAGACTGGCAAGGCTGCATTCAGTGTGCCTCGTCGTGGTGATGCGCTTCATCCACCAGTTCGGCGGCGCTGCCCGCAAACGATGGTTCGTCCGGACTGGCTTCGTGGATGTTATCCTGAGTGCGGTACTGTGCGACGTAACCCATACTGGATGGACGCTCAACACGTGTGCTTCCATCGTTGACCCGACGGCTTGAAGTGGTGGATGCGGTTGTGGAAGCAATGGAAAAATTGCGATCTCGGGAGGGCGAGCTGGTAGCAGTGAATGGTAACCGACCAGTGACTGAGGCCGACGGATGGAGTTGCCCGGAATTATGAACAGATGGTTCTCCGTGACCGGATTCCATTGATTGCAGAGCGGCTGTATCCGTCACCACAGAGAGAGGGTTCTGCGTCAAATCCAGCTCTTCCGGAGCCAGAGAACGTATAGAACCCTGGCGTCCGGCACCCGGTCGAGACGGAGACTGAGAGCTATGCTGAGAACCCGCGCGACTTGGAAGCTCAATGTCGCCGCCCGTTTCTACCTTGGGCAGAACAGTCTGCGTCTCCGTAGACCGCTCGTTTCCTTCACCGTCCGAATCGCGGTAATTAGCATTGGCCTCCGAGGCCTCGCGGTTCTGCTCTGTGGCAGCCTGCTCGTCAGGTTCGTCTCGGTAGGGTTCATGTTGGTCATGGAACTCTTCACTTTCGGGGAAGAGACCAGGCGGTGGTGCTCTGCTGCTGCGTACGACCTCGAAGCCTTTTCCTTTCTCCTTGGTTTTTCCACGGAACAGACTACGGAAGAAGCCGGTAGCAGAAGAAACCGGTCCAGTGGGGTCGGCTGGACCAGTCTTCAACTTGCGAGTGCCCGACTGGGATAATGGCGGCCCCCGGACTCGGTAGTAGAAGTCGACTTCACGGACCGCGTAGTCCTTGCGTGACTGCCGAGGATCATCAAGGTCAAGGTCATCTTTTGGTGCCGGAATATACGCGGGAGTAGGCGTGCCCCTTCCAGAGACCGACGGCCCTTCGATAATGTCATCATCGATGTCTCCGTAACTTGAAGATCTGTGTGTGTGCCGCGATGCTCTGCCCTTCTCTCCGGCAGCTCCCATATCCACGACCTTCTTGCGAGGCCGCGGTGGCCGATAGTAAGGGTCATGCGGATGCATCGCAAAGACGGGACCGCTCTTCGGGGAGTTACTTCCTGGGGTCTGATACCCGGCAGCAAAGCCACCGGGTGTTGAGGGCGTAAAGAAACCGCTACTGTTAGCCCGACTGTGGTTTCCACCGTGCGCGCTGCCTGAATCAAAAATTGCGCTAGCCCGCCCTTCACTTGCACCAGCACGGTTCAAAAGCATGGCTGAGCTTCCGGAAAGACTGCGAGGTCTCGACCCGTCGAACTGGGATGACAGCCTGTCATCGGTGTGCGCTAGCATGGCAGCTTCCGATCCCATGCTTTGACGAGTGGCGACGCTTTGTCTGGGCACACGCCGTGACAGTTGCCGCATACCGAAAACCTTAACCAGGCCACCGCGGGTAACACCTCCTTCGTAACCACCCGCACCGGCGAGTCGTGCAATGACTTCGATAAGGGTTTGCAAAGCGTTCAAAAAGAATCCGAAGACCATGACAAGCGCATGAAGGAACAAGATGATATAGCCAATCCATCCACGAGCGGCCTGTGAGATGCGCAATGAAGGAACAAAAACGACGCTGAGCAAGATCGTCAGGAAGCGAACGATGGAGAAGCATGCATGGTAGAGGTTCATCGACGTTGGTGAGGGGAACGGCTTGAAGGCTATCAGTGTCAAGATCGACACCACCTCGCATATAGCCAGTAGTACGATCTGGGCAATGCCGGAGGGCTGTAGCGCCCCAATCGCAATACCACGAACGAACGTCAGGAATATTGGCACCAAAGCGAAGGCAGCTGCATCGTCACAGAAAGTGTTGTAAAGCGGGCCGTAGAGTAGTACGGTCGAAAGATCGTCGAAAAGGTAGGACTTGGGCCGGGTGTTCGCAATGAGCCGCACTGTCCACAGAGAGAATGCTGCCAGAATCACTATGACCACGACTGCGAGTGCGACCGAATATGCCGGGGATTCGCTGGCAATAACCAACTGGAAAAAAGATATTGATAGGACCGGGAGCAGTAGAAAATTGAAGACGACCCGGACAATGTTCCCAACGGTGAAAGGCATGTTTTTAGATCGAAGGTCCTCCTCCGGATTATTGGCGATCTTGCGAGAGATTGAACGCAAGCCAAAAACCACCTGGATTAATAGTGTGACGACGACTAGAATTACCAGTAGCCAAACCATCATTCCCGGCCAAATATCACGCGCTGCAGGCATGCCGACATATTGATCGAGTCTGTCCAATCCGTAGGTAGCGTTGACGGCATACACACCGTCCTTGACGGGGTTTTGCTCGTTTCCGGGATCCAGGAAACTCTGATTGAACATGAGTACGGACCAAGCAACCCGGCTGATCACAGGCTGGTAGAAACCAGGGTAGTTCAGGGTTAGAGAGCCGGTCAACACTGCAAACTGGATGTACTGTAGGCAGTCTCCAAATCCCGGCGTTACTAATCGCAGCACATCTTCGTCACGACCATAATTACTAGTCCAGTGGAAGGGGTCCGTAGTACCCCAAGGGCTGTAGATCGCTGCCGTTACCGTGGCGATTCCGACCAGGACAAGAATAACGAGGGGGATATAAGCCAAGGTGCTTTTCAGAGACGACCCAAGATCGGGGGTTATTGCGACGGATATACAACCGAGCTTCGTGGCAGCAGCGTCGCCAGACTTGATCACGAGTCTTGACGACAAGGTCGAAAAGTAGTATGAGGAAAGCATGTCGTGTTCAATCGAGAAGGCGCGCAAAGCGGACAAGTCCGACCTATACAGCGAGGATAATGTTAGCCAGTGCGCGATACCAGTATACAACAGCGCCGAAGAAAACGGGATTCCTCACGAGTTGACATAGAAAACGGGGCCCAGGGGGCAAGACCCCTGGAAGACCGAGTCGCAGAATCTCGACGGTTCATTGTAAGGAGAAAAGCTCAGAACGTCGATTGACGACAGAAGGGTGGAGTATTTGTTGTTGGCAGAATTCAGATCCACGATCTTTCCGACAGTGTCATTCGGGTTCGACCACTGGGGGTCATCCGGCGATGGATAAGTCTCCCCGTTCGCAGTTCCCGAGACGTTGCCATAGACTGATATGTTCAGAGGGTGAAGGGAGTCGTGCTGTTTGAAAACAACGGAGACGTCGAATGGGACGAATTGTAGCTGTTGTGGTTCCGATTGAATCACAGCGGGTTCCAGACAGTTCTCAAAGTCCAGCAACACCGCAGAGGCAGGAGGTATCCAAGATATCAACAACACAACCAGCATCAAGCTAATACCACTGACCCATGATCGATCTCTGCGCCATCGCCATCGTCGCGTCGTTTGCTGATCCTGCACGAACCCGAAACCTTGGATACCCTGTCTTCTGGTACCGACAGCTGAACCCGCATCATTGTGCCATCTCGCGTCGCAACGTACAGACATTTCGGCCATCGACAGCGAACGGGATGACCTCCTCGGGGAGGTCAGTCCCCCCGTAAATGATTCAATCCACGTTGTCCAAGCAGTATCGGAGAATGCCAATAACCCCAGGACCTCGGGTACCTGATCAGGCTCCAAGTATAACGAATGACGTTTCCCGGTCGAGATTCAGCGAATGAACGGAACGGTAGGTAGGATTAAAAACGGGCGAGGTCGGCGAGGGAAGGGGAAGTTGAAGCTGGGATGAGGGAAATGGCAGGGTGGCTTGTGGATGATGGGCTATTCGAGAACAGGAGTGGATTACTCCTCGATCTCCCCCAGGTTGGTGATGTAGGGGATGCGCACCATCACTTCGGGGGTTGGCGGGGAGGGGAATAGGCCAGGCTCGGAAGGTGAGGCAGTAAACACGGGAAGTCAGCAGCAGCAGTTGGTTAGTGGAGAGAGAGAGAGTAGAACGAGTGGGAAGCCCGATACGATGGGCGGTTTAGACTTTGTGCAAGGAAAAGAAAGCACCACGCCTGTGAATCTGCGACAAGGCAAAAAAAGGGAAGCAAGAAGGGAAAAGGGTTAAGGAAAATTAAGATAGTGAAAAAGAAAGAAAGAAAAAAAAAAAAAAAAAAAGTTGGCATGATTGGTATGCGAGGCCCCCCAGCTCGGGCTGAGCGAAAAGGCCCATCGATCCATCCACCATTAACGGGGGGGGGTGGGCTTTGCTTTGCTTGCCTGGCTGACTGACTTGACTGATTGACTGCGCCGCCATGTTTGTTCTCTTTGCTCTTGTGGCAGCCGGGGAGCGACGGATTCAGTTTGGGGCGGTAGCACTGCTAGTACAGTGGTTAGTTCCTAGTGGTGGGTGGCAGTGAGTGAGTCCAGTGGGTGGTGGCTTCTAAACTTGGCAACGCTAATCCTGAGGAACCAAGTCCCAAAGTCAGCCAAAAAGGCAACCCACCCATTCATCCATCCATTACTTACTAGTTATCCGCACACAGAACCTGATCTACCGGCCGGAGGAGTATGTCTCGTTTTTTTTTTTTTTTTGTTAGTGAGTATTATCTGACTGCTAGTTGGTTAATCGCTAGTATTGTACAGTTAGTAGTTGGTAGTAGCTACGGAGTATCTATAAGCTGCTAAACTCAAAGGAGGCTCATGCTGAAAGGTTGTCTCACCCCTCAGTCACTAAAATTACTCCAAGTATCATGGTCGACAAATTATTACTTGACAACCATTATTATGTGTCGTTCATTCATATTTGCTAATACCGCCTATTTTGCGCTTCCTTGTTTCGCAGCCACACCGTGGGCTCGGATCAACCTAGCTTAGCTACTGATTAAGTTAGGTATTGCTTAGGAATGAATGATGAGATGGCATCAGCCCCATGAAGGACCAAATGATTCGGCGGTGGAATATGACGGGCGGACAAAAGGTCGAATCCGGAAACAGAGCTGGGGAGCTGTGTCGGCTTTTTCCTGACTGATGGCCCATGGTCGTGTAACATACCACTCACTCACTTATCGTCAAAGCCAGGGAAGAAGGAAAGCCGGAAAAGGCTAGGATCCCTTACTTGTCACTGCCGATTCAATGCCAATACAACCCTCTGGTCGCATCCCCTTCCATACTGCACAATGATGAATTCGATCTCCTAGTAGTATCCGACCACAATGGTTGAAATAATTCCTTTGCTGGTTTCGTCTGTCCAAATTATGGGACTTCAGTTCCCATGGGCTCTCACTGAGACTTCAGCTTCTAGACCTTTCTACTATGTGGGCTGCCAATGAGCCAAGACACTGAGAACCCGAGACAGTCGAACAATGTAGCCCTATACAACCGATATACATGATGACAGGTGGGGATCCGGGCGTCGGGATTCAGCCATGTCCCAGATTAGTGCACAATTCGCCACTGGTAGTTGCGCTAGTTAGCTGCTCATCTAGATGAGTCAGGAAAACCGACCTTTAGTTCCGCCTGGTTAGTATGTATTACTTCGGACGATAACACGTAGTAGTATAGATAGCCATAAAGTGGAAAGAGTAGCTGCTGCCATCCGGAAAAGGATAGGTTGATTAGCTCGCGAAATACAGCTAGAGCAAGAACCCAGCAAGCTGCCATTAATACTCGGGATAGTCTGAAGCAGTCCACAGCCAAGTTTTCTCCCACCTCTCAATGATCATCTTCGACGTACGGGTGTCTATGGATCTCAAATCATTGGGTAAGCTATCGACGGTTGATCCCTGTGACCGGTCCTTGCATCTCCCGGAGGCTGTGCCACCGATGGATTCAATGGCTAGCAAAACAGTGATATCGCTCTGCACTGGTATAGATCTGTTCGTTTATTCCCTTTCTCAAAAGCACGCGTAGTCTTCCCTTTTCTGTAGCTATTAAGGGGCGGGAAGAGGCCAGGAAAAATAAAATGTAGTTGCCTAATCGCGGTAGAACTGCCCCCTTGTGGTGAACAGTTGACACGTTTCGCCAAAGCTTAGCACGAGAGTGTATGGCTAGTGGAGAGAGCGTCAGCAAGAATTCTTTTCAAGCCGAACTAGATGTTAGCAATCCTAGCTAAATCGCTGGGCTGGTATTAAGTTGAAGACATGTGTCGCGCGAAGGAGTACGTGAGGGTGGAGCGCGTCACCAAATTCATGCTTCTCAGAGGGGAAAATCGCAAAAAAGGGAGCAACTGGTTGGTATGTGGGGGGGAGTAAACATCCCACTCCGAACTATCTATATTTTCGCCCCCTCCAAAAATCTATACTTTTGAAAGGATTAAGTGACTTACTCAGTCATGAGAGGTTGTATACTTGTTAACTACCAGACTATAATCAAGTAAGCAAATTGAGTTGCGATAAGCATGAGCAGCGAGGCTCCGGAATTGTAGAAAAGTTCCTGACCAATCTGAGAGGTGCAACAACTAAAGGATTTATGTACTCCGATGCTTCCCTGTCTATATCCACGAACTGTGTGCTACAGTAGTAGTGTCTAGTAAGGTTGCATTGGAAGATTTTAGCCTGCTACCTTATTTTCTAACAAAACAGTACAAAGCGTCACGTTCTTGGGCCGATGATTGGTCGATAAGGTCGATAGATCTCCCCAATCTCGACTAGCAATGACTAATTAAGTCATTCCCTGGCAGCCCGTGATGTTGTACGACCGGTCGCCATGCACGGCTAACATACATGCATGCGAGGTGTTGGCCGGCATCGATGAAAACGGAAAGCCGAGGCTTGGGCCCCCAGCCCAGCACAACTACTTACTACAAAGTACTAATTACTACTTACTCGATCTGAGCGTCTACATCAAGACGTCTGGGCGAACTTGTAACTACTAGCATTTCGGTTGTCTACTTTGGAGTGGTAGCAATTAGGGAGGATGCGCTGTAGCATGGACATAAAAGTGACATACTAGGATAATTAGAAGGAACAGGTTCATTTACTATATAAACTCGAACAGCTACTTTGATTTGCTATAGTGTTTTAGATTATTTTTATATTGTTCGGAGACATACTCGATACATCAATGATACTCCAGAGTGGATATTTGAGATAGCTGCTAAGTTCAAAGATGATGCCACTCCGGCAAATGTCATTACCGATTATGTCTGAAGTTAGTTCCCTACCGAGTACTACTGCCAATGTTCTAACTTATATCCTATTTTAACTAGTTATATCACTGGTCAATCGCTTAGTCGTACGTAGTATTACTCCGTTGTACTAACTACTATATAGTAGTAGGGGCGGATAACCTAACAGAAGCGAGTTCTCAGCGCCAAGAAGCCAATGGGGGCGCGGAAAATAGTGCGGTCAAGCTTTCATCGTTGTAGGATGTTGTTCCAAGTAAATAGGTTCATTAGTGAACTAGTGGATGGTGTTGACCCATAATCTGCGACGGCTGGGTACTAAGGTGCCGCCCTGAACATCAGTCGCTACAATGAAGCTCATTCGTTGATGTGCCTGAGCGGCAAAGGATTGCTCAAATAATTGGCTTTGCTTTGATCGACCGAGGAACTCTCAGGGACTGGGGATAGCGCGACGGACCTCCGTAGCGAAGGCGGGAAATGATTGACCGGAAATGAGATCATTAAATTTCCCCCCTTAGGTGAGGGTCCTCAATCTCCAATTCTCTAGGCAGTAGTAATTACATGATAACTTGTAACTCTGTCAATGGTCTGTGTAGCTTCGAGGGAGGAAGCAATTACGATTTTACTGGGATATCTAGGGGACCATCAATATAACTATGTAAGTATGAAATGCATGCTGGCAACGAATTTCATACCAGACAAATAATGATTATACGTGCGGCATTTGAATTTCTTGGCAGTCCTGCATGTCCAGTGAGCTGATCGTATACTCGTTAGGGTCCTATGGGCACCCGCCCCTGTTATCTACATGCAGACAAGAAGTACAATTGCCATCCATGTAGGGTAAATAGGTGGTCAGAAAAGAAAAGCTCCGTCTGTGTAATTGATGAACGACACTATTCGAAACCTCTAGCTGAGAGTTTCAGTTTTGCCACCGACAGCTGCAAGGTTGAGAAAACCAGCTCAGCAGATGTCGGGGAAAATACTGTACATTAAGTACTACTTCTCGATCACCCTTTCTTATGGGCTATCGACTTCAACAGTGCTGTGGTGATGCCCTTTTCTCACCACCACCAGCACCACCAACCCCCTAGCAGCGGGAGACACCTTCCTATCTAACAATCTACTTAAATCTTGTCCGGCTTTTCCCAAAACCCTCCCTCAAGCAGACCAAGCGTGCAAGGTTCGCCGGGGGCTCGTCAGCGGCCCACCGAGCAATCAGCAGCCTCACCAAAAGGGGACTAGGGGCGCGCGGGGCCAATCCCGAGAGGGACTAGGGTCGTTTCAAGCTGAGGGTCGGGGCCAGCCAACGGAACGCACTGGGGGTGTGGGCTCCAATCACACATGCCACACCAGATTGATCGGTTTCTCTGATAACAGGGGGTTGTGTTTCTATTCGCTTTGATTCATCTCCAGTCCACGTCAGTTTCAACCTGCGGTTTGGGTTGTGCTCCCTCAGGCAGTTAATAATAGCAGTGATCTTGGGATGATTTAACCGCCAATGTCTGTCGACGGAGTATCTTCCTGGTTCGATGATGCTAAAAACAGCCCTCGGCTGGGATCGAGCATTCTCTTACCCGGATGGCTTGCAAAGGAAAATAGCCGACCGGAGAGGCGGTGCACAAGAATGTTGCCAGTATTTCCCAAATAATATTGAGAGGACCCAGTTATGGCCCCTGCAGTATTAACGGATAGATAGCTGTTGACCTGCCATTCCTTTCCTGCTTTTAATGCCCCGATTCCTGGTCCCCACGTGATCGACCAGTCAATGGTTCGCTGCTTCGTCTCAAATACAGTACTACTGGCTGGCTGATTTATTTACTTGCTCCATCCTTGGGAGGAATGAGTACTAGTATAGTCTGGTATAGTAGTACGTAGTAGTAACCATTCGCCCCCATCACTGTGGCATTCGTAAGCCCCAAAAGTAAGACAGAGGCAGAGAGAGAGAGAGAGAGAGAGAATGGAAGGCAAAAATAGAAAGAAAAAGAGAGGTCAAGCATCCATTGTCAACGTTTATTTGACAGTCTAGAACGGAAGAACCCATACTACAACCTCCAAAAGGGCGGGTACCGACCACGTTGGCCGGGATTCCTGATTGTAGTAGCCCAAGGATTGGTGAGGTGGATTGAAGAATCGCAACCAGTGGAACAAAACCACTGCGGAGATCCTCCCTCTCCCTAGCCTGCCTGAGGTACCCGTCCCTCGGTCGGAGAGAGGTTTAATAGCACGGGGTCGTACCATCACTCGTCCACATGTTCCTGATTGTTTGTGATCTTCTTTTTTTCCCTTCTTTCTCTCTCTCTCTCTCTCTTCCTTCCCCCCCTTTCCTTCTCTCTGCTTTGACTGCTCTGTCCGTGGCTGGAGCATTGCTCTCCCCTCCATATCTCACAACTAGCTGCTGGAACAGCTTTAGTCCCTACCCCGTCTCTCCCTTGCTACAATCAACCCCCCCGTCTCTTCTGCGGAGTACAACAACCGGGCGGGCTGAGCTATAGTTCCCTACTACTATCGCCCATCGCCTTCAGAAGCTGCGAAGCGCCGAGCCCACTCGCGCTGGCGTTTACAGATACACCACTCTATCTTGGAGTTCATTGGTTAGTTTGGCTACTGCCTTATGCCCCTCTATCTAACCCCTGAAGCTTCCAAGCTCAGATACTACTTACTAGCTTCCCCCTTTGTTGCAGCGCCGTTCCTGAATGGTCATTTAATTGATTGGTTTTGGTAGATCGCTCGTCTCCGAGTCCCACCAGACAGCGCAGGTAATCGCACCGGTCCTGCTAGCAGTGTCATACAATCGGCCCCGTTTACTTGGGTAATTGCTCTGCACACACCCACTTCTGGTGTTTGTTATCCGCTAGCTTGTTCTTTCTCACGCCGCGCGTCTCTGTCGCATATTGAGTCTTGTGTGCGAACACTAAGAAGTTCGAGCGAGTCACTTGTCCCACCAACCGCCACTTCCTCCCTTCCTACTTCGGTACCCGAGATTCTATCTTGCCTTGACGACTGCCATTACTTACGCGCGATAAGGTGTATTCGATTACGCTCCGTATTTACACTTACCGAGCTGTCAACAATAGTCCTGCTTTGTCGATCTTCCACCTGCGCACACGTACCTGCGAGATTGGCGGAGAATACGGACGGACAGGCGCCGCATATACTTCATCAACCCATCCTGAATTTCCTGCGATGCTCAATAGCAGGTCGTATCGTATCTCGGAAACGTACCTACTTTGAAATCCACCGATATGTCTACATCCACCGAGGATCCCTTTGCCTTCATCGCGAACGAACAGAAGCCCGCGCCGGCCAAGAAGCCGCATTGGAGAGATAAACTGTTCTCAAAGGACAAGCGGGCCAAGGGCTCTACGGATCAGCAGATAGAGGCTTTCCTCGCACCTACTCGCTCGAAATCTGTATCCTACGGAGCGAGTCAGACTACGCCTCCACGATTGGATGCCACCCAAAAATGGCCGTCTGCCCACGATGTCCTCAATGCGGCTTCGTTGAACCCTGCCCTTCATGATGCTCCCCCGCCCGTGGACTTTACGAAACCACCCTTCAAGAGTCGTCGGAAGGGGTTGACAGTCAAGTTCAGTGCCCACACTCCCGAACTGATTGGAGAAGGGGGTGATGAGACTGACAAGCCGACAATTGAGATCTCCTTATGTCGTAATAACCAGAATAGCCACAGTCCCAGTATGGTGGATGACTTTGGTGACCGCCAGCCAAAGCTTCCTCAACTACGCCTGGACACTTCGTTTGGTGACTTCAATGCCCCGGCGCCGCAGCAGAGAGATGCGCAGAAGGGGACACGTATAGAGGACTGGAAGCCGCTGTTGCTACAGAACCCTCAGGACGCTGATTTCCTTATGACACTGAACCTGGGAGAAAGAGGCTCCCGCTTATCATTCCGTGCTTCACCCGAGTCCCATTCGTTTGCCCAACGGATACGAGACAAGATGCAAGCTGAGGAGGGACGTGCTTTGCAGCACCGAATGCCAGATCCACCCTCCCCTGCAGATGAAGCAGGGGTGCAAAGTCCGGCGGAGGCTGTTCCTGACAGCCCGAGTTCAACCTATGAGACGCCTCCCCTTTCGGAGACGGAGCCCAGCCCGCCCGAGAATCCGTTTCGAGAACCCCAAGTCCCTTCTCACATCGATCGCAGTCCAGTTGATCGCAGCCCTGAAACCCCGGTCCTTCCTTCTATACTCTCTCCTGGCGGAAGTGCCCAAAGCCTTTCTCCTCCAAAACGGCAGATCATACCCAAGATGGCGGAACAACCTGACGCCCCCTCTCCTCCAGCCAGCAGGGATAACCGCGATGCTTCCCGGAATCCTCAGGCTCCAAAGTTTACATTGCGGTCTGTTGCTAATCAACTGGGTGACACGGCTTTCACTGATCTGAAAGCGTACATGGCGCAGTTTAAAGGCTTGATCCAAGCCTCTGCGGAAGAAGCCAGGCCCATCCAGGACACCTCTCTGTCTGAATGGGTGAGAGCTGAAGTGTGGTGGTTTCTGCGGGGAAAGAAACGTCTCGAGGTTTATGCACGGTCACGCCCCTCCAGCTCTGGCACACGATCACCCCTTCTCAGCTCTACAGAAAGCGCGAAGCAAGCCATCGTGGATCTTGCTAAGGCCTTATGGATCAATGAATATGTCGTCCCACAACATGATGAGGTGACCCGCTATGGCGCAAGGAGTATTGATGCTGTGATTGCAGTAGCCAACACAACCGGGAACGCACAATTGGCCGATCTCCTTACCCTACACCAGGCGATCATGAACCATACTCGCTCATTAGCCATGTCTATCAAGCGGAACAACATCCTTGTGGCTATTGCATCCCAAGGCGATTCCGCCATACCAGTTGACACTAGTGTTTGGATGCGATATCCATCTTTCGCTCTGGACGTGGCTGCGGTCCTCTCAGGTACAGTAACAAGCTCGCTGCTGGCGGACACGGCAGGAAAGGGGCCTTCCTTTGTGCAAACAATGCCACTCAGTGATACTAGTCGCTATTTTAGCTACGGGACCATGTTTGTGAATGTTCTCGTCAGCTCCAATGAAGATGACATGCCGAAACTGTCTATGCCATGCGCATTGTCCATAATACGTGATCGTGCTGACTGGTATGTCTTCGCCGCGATAACCAGCCAGAATGAACTTGTCAACGTTATGATCCAGTCGGACAAGAAAAAGGGCCCTACATGGGACAGCGTGGACTGGCTAGTCCGGTCACATTCGATAAGGGTGAAGCTGCCGCGTGGATTCGTGTTGGAGGTCGCGTTCCAGGAGGATGACTTCAAGAATATCTGGAACATTGTCCAGTACACCCGCAAGACCGAAGCAAGCCTGCAGGCTGAGTCGGGTGAAACAGTGATTTTTGAAAACACTCTCAAGTCATTCCAGTATATGGACCCTGGAACGCCAAAGGCCTTCCCGGCCGATCCCATTGAGCGGTGTCGGCTTCGACTCTTCGAAAAGACCATCACTCTGACTGAGGGCACTGGCAGTAGAATTGTGCATCAAGGGTTTCGTCTTGCGGTACTCACAAGCCCAAAGGTCAAGACCCTTAGCAGTGTGCGTCATACCATTGGGTCCGGCGCACCAGTTGTTTTCGGTCTGCTCCGAGGTGAAGATGGAGCACCAGCCCTTCTACTCAAGGTCAAGGAGGAAGGAAGGACCCGGTCTATGGTGATGACGTTCTATGAATCGGAGGATCGCACAAACATGCATTCCTTGCTTCTGGGTATTCAGCCTAAGGGAAACGAGGTTAAGTCACCTGAGATCCCAATCCGTGCATACACCGTCCAACAGCCTGCCGACCGTAACACTGGGCAGCCAGCAAAGGATCATATTCAATTTCCTGCCGGTACAGTCTCGATCATTGACCGTGAGCACACGCATGTTGAGCATGGGTACGGTCCGACGGTGCTATCCGAGAATCTACGTGCTTTCATCGCAACCGAATGGGGATCTGTCACGGATCGGATCAATCTCGGTATGTTTTCCAGATCATTATGTAGAACTTCGCTAACGATATCCTAGGGCCCGGTGAGCTGAAACTGGGACTTGATGTCAACAATCGGACGGGGCTTAGCCTGTACCGACCTGGGCAGAAGGACTGGACTGTGTCCGTCGCTGAAAATCTAGTACTACCAGAGATGCCAGATAAGATAACAGATTTCTTGAAAATCGCCATGGCTAAACCAATGATCCGACGATTCGACTTTGCATCTGTACAAGGTAATATACACTGCTCTCTACATCGGCCTGAAAGACTTTACTGATATGCCTCTCAGATCTTCATATGTTCGAACGAGCTGTGACGGGCTACCAGGTGCTTTTTGACAGGTATGCATAAGTCGGATTTGTTGAAGGAGGCCATACTAATACTGGGAATGTAGTGTGGCTACCTCGTTCGCCATCTCACGACGCCGGATGGTTGTCCCGATCACTAAGAAGTGGGAATCCAGCCTGGCTCGAATCCAAGTGATCAAGCGCGACAGAATTGTGCAACTGGTAGTCTTCTTCAGTGACTTCCATCATGGAAAGTGCATGAACTTCGTTCTCAAAGGCACCGACACCCTGGAGAGCTTCGGGAAAGCTGGCAAGTTTGGGGTTCGGATTGTGGATGCCAAATTTGCTCTGCCGAAGACTGAAGATGACCCGGCATCGGACTTCGTATCTCTGGACTCTCCGGATTACCCAATGGAGCACGACGACATTTCAATTGCCTTTGACTCTGAAGCAGGTATGCCGAGTGATCCCTTGCTATTGCGCATGCCTGGTATTGATACTGATAATCTATAGATCGGACGAATTTCCATGCGGCTGTGCCCGGATCAGTCCGTGAGCCGTCGAGGATGAGCTCTCTGCGTCGTTAGGCTTAAGCTGAGTCCGACTGTCACTGTTTTGCAGTATCCATTTCCTACTTGTGCACTCATCCATCCATCCATCATCACCTCGCCCACCAGTCGGCCCACGCGTCACGTGCCCGTTATCCGATGCGGAGCAGCCTCTCCCCCTCTTCGGCTCCCCTTCCCCACTCTTCCTGAGTCACGACAGCAAATCTCCGAATGGCGAATGGCCGGCATTCCCGACTGCGTCCGCGCGGCCTAAACTTTCTTCTTCTCATCTTTTCTCATCATCACCATGGCTCCCGTTAATCGAGAAATGGGCGCCTCCACGCGCGCTCTTCATGTCGACGATGCCCTGAATGTCGTCACGGATGTGGCTCCGCCAATTCACGTGGCCACTACTTTCCGCTATTCCGACAACCCCGATGACTTAGTGCCCTGGGCCGACCGCAGTGGGGTAAGTGTCTTACTCCCCGAATGCACTCCGAGCTCAATGTTAACTGTGCTTCCGTGTCTAGGATCAGAAGGACAACACAGCTCACGTCTATTCTCGGTTGACCGCCCCTAATTATACTCGGTTTGAAGCTATCTTGTCTTCACTCCTCAATGGAAAGGCCATTAGCTACTCCTCGGGGTTGTCAGCTTTGCACGCGGCGCTAGTCCTGCTCAAACCCCGCCGGATTGCCATTGGAAACGGTTATCACGGATGCCATGGCGTGATTTCTCTGTTCAGTCGCCTCACTGGACTTCAGAAGCTAGACCTGGATTGTCCTGCCGAGCAATTGGAGGCTGGCGACGTGATTCATCTGGAAACTCCGGTCAATCCCGAGGGAACCGCCTTCAATATCGAAGCGTATGCTCAAAAGGCTCATTCTCGTGGCGCATACCTCATTGTTGATGGCACGTTCGCCCCGCCCTTCCTCCAAGACCCTTTCGAATGGGGTGCCGATTTGGTGATGCACTCGGGGTCCAAGTATTTTGGCGGACACAGTGATGTTCTTTGCGGAGTTCTTGCCACACAGCGTGAGGATTGGGCGAAACAGCTGCTTGAGGACCGGGTCTTCCTGGGCAGTGTGATGGGAAATATGGAGAGCTGGTTAGGCGTTCGCAGCTTGCGGACTCTGGAAGTCCGAGTGCAGCGCCAGAGCCAGAACGCAACCAGTCTTGTATCCTGGCTGAACGATGCACTGCGTGCGCCCAGCCCCGCTCCGGATAGCGACGAAGCTGTGGTTCAGCGTGCCCTTGAGCAGGTGTTCCACGCCAGCTTGCAGAAAGAGGACGAGTCTTGGCTGTTGAAGCAGATGCCCAATGGGTTCGGACCGGTCTTCTCGATCACCATGAAGACGGAGGATTTTGCCCGGAAGCTCCCGAGCAAGCTGGCATTCTTCCAGCATGCTACCAGTCTTGGAGGAGTGGAAACGTTGATCGAATGGCGGACAATGTCGGACGCGACTGTGGATCGCCGGTTGCTGCGCATCAGTGTCGGGTTGGAGAACTGGGAAGATCTCCGGCAGGATCTGGTGACCGCGTTCAAGGAATTAGTCGAGGGTAAATAATGACTGAATTGAACGATCTCATAGATATGACTTAGCACTTAAGATGATGTTAACATCGGTAATCTCTTGATGTCCGCATAATACTACTGCATAGTTGGGACGACATTCTACTCCATACCTACCAACTGGACAATCCCGCCGGCGCGGCACCACCCACCACTCTTATCATCTACATCCTTATCAGCAGACCCCGCACGCCCGCCTTTGTTTTCTCCCTTGTATCTTTCTTTACCCCCTCCTCAATCCCACCCTCAATAAAACCAAGCAACCAACAAACAATATCCATCAACTCCCTAATATTCTATATTACCCACAACATGTCCTCTGAAGAGAATACAACATTCCAAATCCACTACTTCGCCTCCGCATCCACCTACACAGGCAAACAATCCGAACGACTCCCCGCCCCCTTACCGCTGCCGAAACTCTTCGATACCCTTGAGTCCATGTACCCGGGGATCAAAGAGAAGGTGTTGAGTAGTTGTGGGGTGAGTCTAGGGGATGAGTATGTGGATGTTGAGGCTGATGGGGAGGTGGCTATTAAGCCTGGGGATGAGGTTGCGGTGATTCCGCCGGTTAGTTCGGGGTGATCAACGGTCTACTCCTATTGGAATGAGTGGTATTGGTTACTTGTGTAGGTAGGTAGGTAGTTTGTGGGGTATTTGTTTTGTGTGTCTGTTTTTGGCTAATTATTATTTGTATAGGTATAGGTACATGCGTTGGCTGGTGGAGGTGGGAAGTCTGGAGTATTAGGGTGGGTTTGCTTGGATGTATATGATTGAAGTGGGAAAGAGAGACATAGGAAAGAGATCAATGAAGGGACAGAATGCAAGGGGATAGATTAGGGGATGGGGTTGGTTGTCACTGCCGTCAACATCAACATCAACATCAATATTAGCATTATCAGCGCCATCGTCATCATCGTCCATCGTCTAACCATCCAACTTCTCCACACCCGCCGCCTTCTTCTGTCTCCAAAGAACGAGTCCGCAAACGCCTGAGAAGAAGAACATGATACTGCGCACACACATCCTCGTTAGCATGATCCAACCGACTCCATAAACCACACCCAGGGGAGGTTACTCACCACATAGCAATACACAACCCCCAAATCGACTTCGCCTCCAAACACACCGACTTACTCGCTCCAATCCAGGCCGTATAGTTCACCGTCCCGCCACTCAAATCCTCCAAATAACTGCTCAGATGCGTGGCAAACGTATACGCCGATGATCCGCTTGACCCGTCGCTGCTGAGCTTGTTGCATTGCAGATAGGAGAGTGGCTTTCCGATGATGACTGATACCACGATCACGGCGATGAGGAGGAGGGTGTCGAGGATGGCGGAGATTAGGAAGTGTAGGATGTTGTCGAGGAAGAGGATCGTTGTGATGAAGCTGTATATTACTGCGATGCTGGTCTGGTTTCCATTCAAGGGTGGTTAGAGGGGTGGATGTTGGGTAGGTAGAAGGGAGAGGGAAGGACGTACCACTGTGATTGTCCCGATGAAGATGGCTGGGGGCGTGGCGCCGTTGGAGACAATCTCGGCGATGAAGTTCGCTGTTAGTCCGATGATGGCGATGAGTGAGCAGAGCTGGATGATGCGCGCGCAGATGAAGGTTGCGCCGAGGAGTCCGTGGGGTGCCATTTTCTTCTTATTTTCTTCCCGATGACAGTTGTAGCTGCTAGGGCGAATAGATGTGTGTATTATAGAAGGGATAGCTTGATGCACTTTGCGAGAGAGAACAAATTGTAAGAGAAGAGAGAGTATGTGCTAGCCAAATGGCCGTGATTAATACGTATGCAAACACAACAATTGAGATCAAACAATGATACAAAGGAGTGTAGTAGCACAACAATCCCAAATCAAAGGAATGTTTAAGACAATGGCAAAGAAGACTGAGAGAGACCGTGAGTTTTCGCTGTTTGACTTGAGTGTAGACAAAGCAAATCTACGACGACAACCAACCTCTTTAAATATCCCTCTCTCCAAGCACCTATTCAAGCCTTAAAGCTAGGCGAGAATACACGGCACAGAACCTCAAGTTCCAGGCCCAGACAAATTTAGCTACACTCGTGCCGTGTTCTAGATTCGACCGATGAGGATGCATTGGATCTTGGTTGCTGAGCTCTCATTGCGTGATGAAGCGCCGACGGGACGGTAGAGTCTGTTCAGGCCTGTTCAAGGAGCGCTTTGTTTGGAGAAGGTGAAGCGAGCGCTTACTTCATACATAGCTAGCTATCAAAAGGATGAGCTCAGGTATGTGCGCGGTAAAGAGCTAGGGCTGCACCGGGATGGGTCTACTCCACACCGGCGCTTGGAGATGCCATAGCGGGAACGTTCCTGGCCAACGACCCACGAGAGCTTAATTGAACCTGAGACGACTGGCGTGTGGATGATTGGCGCGGAGGGTATTATTGGAATTTGATTGCAGTGGAGAGAGGGACTTGCTCAGCCTCATTCTGTCTATTACTATTACTATCAAAGTCAGTACGCCGTACTTGGAGGAAATGGGATGGGAGGCGCCTGCAATGCAGATCGCGCAGTCGCTGTCCAGCTTCTCGGGAGTGTCGTCTGTGGCGTTTTCTATATTAAGGATATGCGGGTAGATTGATTGGGATCGTTTCGTGGAGAAGCGCATTGATTCAGGGTATGTCCCGTACCTGCAGTGAAGGATTGTAGGCGGGATGTTGGGGTGATAGGTATTGGCTGAGAGGGAGCGGGAATATTCCTCGAGATGGTCTTGTAGTGGGATCTGCGGCTGCTTGTCCCGCTTGTGGGGTGTTGTTCGAGATGCTAATATTGTTGGCGTCTGAATATGTCTTCTAGGTTTGTTTTTGTTGTGCGTGGGTGTTTTGGTAGGTCTGCGTATAGGTAGATACGTTGGTGTACAGGGCTGATAGCTTGGAGTAGTATAACCTTGCTGATAAATCGCTGACATGAGTGCCTTAATAGATGGCCTATTGATGTTGCTTGAGCTTGATATCTTGTAGAGTTCGTCCAAGTAGAGCTCGAGCATGACGTAGCCACAAAGTGGTCATGTTGCAAGCTCCTTGAGAAGCTGGTCTGATCCTGCGCCATGCCTGCATTAGCTGATTCGATAGTCGTAGTCAGACCACTATTGACTGCGCCTCTCGCCTTGTTTATGCTACTGGTCACTGCGAGAATCGGACAGATACGATCCAATCATACCGAAAGCACAACTCACTGCTTTGGTGACGTGCCAATGTTGATAGTGGATCTTCATATTGTCCCGCGCCAACGGTTTGGTTGGGAGGAGGCTTCATTCTAGGTGAATGTTGTATCGTTGGGCAATGCTTCGATGTGCGCAAGTTGCTTGCCGTCGAATAGACAAGTTGTTGGGCTTCGCAGAGCTAGCGTGTCCAACGACTAATGCAGAAGGCCGCAAACAGGATAGGACCGACACTCGATGTAATAGCAGTAGCAACTATGATAAGGTCTTGATGTCTAGCAGGACAACTCTCAGCCGTCCACACAATGGCTGCTTCGTCATCCTATTAGTGCTTCAAGAGTCCCGCATTCCCTTCAATGGGTTTGAGCAATTGGCAACAACTATCCCAGCCATGTTTGGCAGAATTAGTAGACTCCGGTATGCAAACATCATGAAGGCTTGTAATTGGATAGTATCTGCCCCCTAGGTGTGTTGGCATTGGTACACAAGGGCTTTAAACTATTCTCTGGTGGGATGAGGATATCCAATTCTCATCAAGTTTACATCGGTGAGCGTCCTCGACCAGAACACCACATTGTATATGCTTAGACTCGCCTTCATGCGGTTCCATTATCTTCTCGGAACCCGACTTCTCTCACTGCTTTATGTTGTGTTTTCTGGCATGGAGCACGTTTCTGTAGTTGCGGGTGGAGCCACGATAGCTTGCATCATCCTGGTACGGCGGTATGCTGCTCAACGAAGACTCGAAGCTCAGGGTAGACTGGCGATTTCAGTGACGTCGAGCTGGAGTTCATCGACTTGGCCAAAGCCCATCCATGTACGAGTAGTATGAGCGTAGTAAATATATTGTGCTCATCAAGTGCTTCAAGAGGATCTGCCAACCATATATGGCTAGAAACACCTGACTTTCAGGCTAGTGGACTGGAAATACACACTTTATAATAGTATCTAAGCTAATATTATGCAAACAGTCAGTACTCAATCGCTCACGCAGCAGATTTGTAGCACTTCGTACCGTCTCAGTAGTTGGGTGACGTTCCAAACATCATCTGGTAGACTAATGTGCTTATATCACGCACACTGTAGTTGAATCTTGCCTTCCTTGTAAAATAAACTGAGATGGATGTCTTTTGACCCTTCCACAAGGACAATAAGAGATCGCACAGCTAAGCCAACAATTGCATAGTTCGGGGAAAACTCGGAATTCGTAGTGCCAGGTACATATACTCACCGCCCTAGCGGTAAGTGGCAACTGCCGGCAGTATGTAGATTTTACAGCCGCGGAGATTCGCCGCAGCTGCTTCCACGCCTCTTGCTCCATCAAGGTATTGAGCTCCAGGTTGTGGGCATGTATGATGGGTGGTCCAGAATGCCTTTGTTACTCCCAAAGACGAGAGTATTGCAGAGGGCGGCTGGTGTGAATCACGCGCTCACGCCGAGACTCTGCGGAGCTGCCTCGCGCGCGCCACCTCTCCTTCGCCGGAGCAATCTCTCAGACTACTCGCAAATTGTATCACGGAGATGCTTCAGCGCAGGCTCAAAGGTATGAAACCTTTTCTAATTGTCGAGTTTTGCGGCTTACCATTATACTCCTTAGTATCTCGATCAAGACCTACTAAACTCGTCAACTGAGGTGCTTAACCTCCGTCTCAAGCTTGAGTTTGACGAGCACAAGGACATCCGGACCTATCTGCGAAAATGGCAACAGTCCCATTCCAACGACCTGGACCCTGTCCGAGGTCCAGGGACTTCGAACTCCCTGGACGCATCGGCACCCTGGGTGGGAAACATGCTCAACGACAACCGTGAGGCTCGCGATGCCGGAAGCGATGCTCTACGAGCGGCAGATGATTCTTTGGAATTCACGAACTCAGCCGACGAAGGAGAGGGCTTAAATCAATACTTGGAGCCGGGTGATCTGGTGGCAATGACTGCGTAAGTGCAATTGACTTGTCTGTTGTGCAATATTATGGTCGCTAACTTCTTGCGGAACAGCGTTGACGGTATCCTGACATTTGCCATCTATATCCGCTCCATCCATAAACAGCAACAATTCTATACGGACAGAGGAAAATGGCGGATTGCTTTTGCCAAGGATCTTGACTATGTCGTCAAGGGGTTTGTGCCTCCCGAAATGGTTGCGCCCCTGCTCCCGCACGTTCCTGGCGCTGCCGCTCAGATGAAGACAGAGTTCCAATCTGTGACCGAAGGTGGAGTCCCGAGAAATGTTGGTGCGGATCTTCTCAAGAAAATGTACACCTTCGACCAAGACGCGCAGGAGCTGTACCGCGCAAATGCAGCCCGGTTAGACAGCATCCATGACATCGTGGCCGATGAGGAAAATTACCGTGAATATACGTTGGAGGAGCTGACCTGCAAGGCGCTTGATATTGAGAAAGATCAGCTGAACGATGTGCTCTTGTTCCTCGTCCATCGCGTCGCTCACGCCAATGCTTTCTTCATCGAGTATGATAGGAGTTCGCTTTTTGCCAACCATTACCTAGTTAAACCG